AGTTAGAGACATGAGCATAAAAAGAAAAATGCCATTGCATCCCTGGCAGCTAACACAGCACTCAGTAATTAGCATGCACCATCCTAGGTACACAGAAAACATTGCGTGGATGGATGGATGGATGGATGGATGGATGGATGGATGGATGGAAGAAGAATGAAAGAACAAGCATAAAGATACCCCAAAGGCTGGGCACTGTGACTCACGCCTACAATCCCAACACTTTGGGAAGCCAAGGCAGACAGATCACCTAAGGCCTGGAGTTCAAGACCAGTCTGGCCAACATGAAAAAACCCTGTCTCTGGAAAAAAAAAAAAAAAAAAATTAGCCAGGCATGGTGGTGCATACCTATAATTCCAGCTATTTGGGCAACTGAGGCACAAGAATTGCTTGAGCCCTGGTAGTGGAGGCTGCAGTGAGCTGAGATTATACCACTGCACTCCAGCCTGGGCAACACAACGAGCTTCTATTTAGGGGGGGAAAAAATCCCCAAATGTGCCTCTATTTTACGAAGAGATGTCTCCCCACCAAAGTGATTAGAAACTGCCATTTCAACAAGTACCAAGGCAAACTTTGCTTATGAACAGCTGTTTATGACCCAACATTAGCCACAATGCCATGCTAGCTTAAAGCATGACTTTCTACAAAATTTTTAAAAGGCTTCCTTCTCAGAGGATGATTAGGAAAGGGCACCTGCTCTGATCTGAAACTGCCAGGGCCTACAGCTTGGATTCCAGTACTACTCACTTCTTCTGCCAGGTAACTTTGTACAATGTACAAAGTGAACAACTAGGTGAAGTGGTTTTGCTTAGTTATATGATGAAGCAAACACTAATACTATGGGAGAAGGCAGAATGTGGCTCTCTGGCTTACCAGGCCCCCTTCTCTGGCCTCCTCCTGGGCTGGTGGAGTAGGGCGTGTCAGCCACTGGCCTTCGGTGACCACACACAGAGGTGTTCTGGCACAGGCCCAGGTTAAGTTCATAAAGCCAGAAGAAACAAATCGTGTGTAATCTTTACCCAGGTGAAGATCAACAGCACTCCCATTACCCCCAGAGACTTCTCTAATGACCCATCCATCAACACACCCTCCACACCTCCAGCTTCCTTGGCAGTCACTATTCTGACCTCTGTCACTATATATCAGCTTTGTCTTTTCTTTCACTGCATAAAAATTGAATCATACAGTAGGTTCTCTTTTGTGTCTAGATTATTTAACTCAACACAGTGTGCTTGAAATTAATCCATGTTATTGTGAATAGCAAGAGTTCATTCCTTTTGGTGCTGAGGAAGATATTCAAATGGCCAGGTCACATGTAATAAAAATGCTCAAAGTTGTTAGCCATCGGAGACATACAAATTAAAACCACAATGAGTTACACCTACATACCCACAAGAATACCTAAAACCAAAGGTGCAATACCAAGCATTGATGAGGATGTAGTGAACCGTAACCCGTGGGTGCCACTTGTGGGCATGTAAACTGGTAAAAACCATTATGGAAAACTGGTGAGCAATTTCTAATAAGCATTCACCTATTATATGACCTGGCAAAAAATGAAAACACAAATGCACAAAGAGACCTGTACAAGAATGTTCATAGTAACTTTATAGTTACTATGTGCAAATACATAGTCCCCAACTGCAAATGGCTGAAATGTCTATCAACAAAAGAATTGATAGATAAATTGTATATCCAAATAATGGACAAGTCATTCTTACCCTCTATGGTGCCTCAGTTTATGGAAAAAAATAATGTGTATGCCACACAGAGGGTTATTAGATGAACAATGGGGAAAGTGACTTACAAATACAAGATTTATCTTTGGTTTGTAGCTATATAAATCAGAAAAAGACAAAGAAAAGGTAGTCTTAAAAAAAAAAAGAAAGACACAAACCAATGTGTTGTAGGCTGCGAACTTCTAAGCCTGCTCGAATTTCTCACCTTCCTGGATCCAGCTGCCATTTCTCTGACCTATTGGAGGTAAGAAATAGTTAGGGACAGCAAGTAAAACCATTTTTCCTCCTCCCAATAAAACATGGTAACCAAGGAGGTTTCCTTTAGAATTTTAACTTAAAATAAAAACAAAAAAACAGCCAAATGGCAGGTGCGGTGGCTCATACCTGTAATCCTAGCACTTTGGGAGGTCAAGGCAGGCAGATTACTTGAGGTCAGGAGTTTGAAACCAGCTTGGCCATCATGATGAAACCTGTCTTTACTAAAAATACAAAAATTAGTGGGGCACCTCTAATCCCAGCTACTCAAGAGGCTAAGACAGGAGAATCGCTTGAACCTGGGAGGCGGAACTTGCAGTGAGCCGAGATTGCACCACTGCACTCCAACCTGGGCAACAGAGTGAGACTCCATCTGAAAAAAAAAAAAAAAAGCCAAATTTCCCATACATGTTTAATCTGCTCAACTCAGAAATCTTAAAGTATCTATTTCTGCACCCTTCCCATAATCTTTACTCTGTTTCAATCAGCTAGCCACTTCAAAACTCTGGAAACAAGCAGGAAAAGAATCACATATACCCATACATACACACACACACACACACACACACACATACACAGAAACATAGACATGCACATATGTTGTCTTCTCTACCCAGGAATATATGGAAGGCTACATATTTTCTATAGCTCTGCACAATAAGCACAAAGTGATGTGTCACTTGATAGCAAACATGTTAGCACATATACATCCAAGGGAGCTTTCCCAAAGTGAGGAGCTTCTAGTCTTATTCTGATGATGCTGTTCCTGCTAAAAAAAAAAAAAAAGAAAAAAGAAAAAAGAAAAGAAAAAAACACCTTTTTGGTGTTTTTGGAAGTCATGTCACATGAAAAACTGTGAGAAGAACAGAGGCTATAGAATCTGGAAGAGAAAAGCCGCAAAGGCTTACAGATAGGGAAACTAAGGATGAGTCACTTGTCCAAGATGACACAGCCAGTAAGGGATAGTGGCTCAATTTGAGCTCAGGCAGTCTGCCCTTGATCTGTTTTACCCTCAGCCCTCCTAGAATAGAATGGGACAGACAAATAATGAAGACTGAAAATGCAGCCCCGGTGCTCTGGTAGAAGAGAGTGGAGTATAGTGGAAGCTCTGAGGAAAGAGTGCTCCTTGGGGGTTAGGGAGTGATAGGTGTCAGGAAGGACTGCATGGAAGAGCTGCTGTTCACAAAGAAGGGACTTTAGAAGCCGATTTAGCTCTTTTCAGATTCACCAGCTTTTATTTTCATACCTTCCTCCAAGATAGGTTCAGAGAATGCCAGGTGGGATTTGTAACATCCCGTTCCTCAGCCACTATCAATACCCTTGCCTGGTACCTCTCTTGTAGTGGATGGGATCTTGGGCACAGCGTTGGCAAATGGGACCACTACAGGGAAATAAGCAAGCTGTCAATGCCTTCTTCCCTCTGCCTCCTAGACTCCTGAAATCCATAGTCAGATCTCTCCTTAACAGTCAAATAGTGGTCCAAGAAGAAGAAGAAGAGAGAGACAGAGAGAGAGAATGTGTGTGTATGTTTTTGTGTGTGCGTGATGCAAAGGAGACAGGGAGGGAGACCAAGGCCCGGGAGCCCATTTCTCCCCCAGCCTCAGAGCATCCAGCTCGTGCACACAGGACCAAAGTTGCCTGGTCCTTTGATCGGTACCCCATGCTGTGCCTTGTTCAGGGAATTTTTAAATTCTCTTTCATTTTTATTGAGCAGCTTCCCTCCCCACCCCCCATCTCTGAGTCAGGTCTTAGGATTATTGGGTCCTTCTCTTCATTGATTTGTTTTTCTGACCTTTGTAGTAGATACAGAAATATATGGATGCAACAAGAAAAAAAAGAAGAAAGGGAAGGGGGAGGGAGCCTGAGCAGCCTCCCTCTGGAAGGGAGGGTGTATGGTGAGGGACTTGGGTCTGGCCACATTTTACAGGGAAAAAAAAAGCAAGTGGGATGGCAGCGGCTTGGTGCCCAATAACGGAAGCCTGGCTGGGAAGGAAAGGCCCCTGACCTGAAGGGGCTGGCGACTGATGAACAGGGTAAGGCCACCATCCTGTGTCTTCCCAGAGGATGGTGCAATGGACCTCTGTGCCTCTATGCATTTGCTTTCTGTTGAAAAGACTCCTACATCAGCTTTGTTTTTCTTTCTTTCAGTGAATACCTACAGCACCCACTCCATGCTAGGCTCTGCACTAGAGCCAGTAATGCATGAGCTCTTTTCTTTCCCTCTCTCTCTGAGCCTATTGTATTAAACCTCATGTCTTCAAGCCAGCCACACCTGTGCATCCTCCATTGTCATCACTGAGAAGAGGGGGGAAATGAACATTCGTGGAGTACCCACTGCCCAGCACCGTGAAAGCATTTTATTTGTATTACAGGGTGCTTGGCAAGACTTTTTCTGTTGCTCCAAAAACAGAAGCTGGGATGCACAGCTGAGTCACCAACTGGAAAGTAGTGTTGGATGAGAAATGATTCCTCCCAACAGGTGTGACTGCTGTTCTCATTTAAAAGACAACCGAAAGGGCTCTGAATCAGTGGTAATGATCTGAGATTACTGCAAGATGGGGATGCCCTGTGTCCTGTGTCCACCCTAGCAGGGCATACTCCTAAAGAGGAGATACATGGCAGAGGAAATCCCAGAACAACCTGCACCTTGGCAGTTTGGTGAGGCTGATGATGTGAATCCCCCAACGGTCAAGCAACATCACCTAAAGTGGCTACACTTGACTTAACTTGCCTCTACTTCACCCAACTGGGCTGCCCACCAGTCAAAGGGAGGCAGTAGTGAAAGCTGAGGTGAAGTTGAAGAGGTGAATATCCATCAGGGAATTGACACAGGGCCATTCAGAAAAATCTAGACACGCACACTGGAAGGAGGTCTAGCCTTTGAACTCCTGCCACAGAGGGCATCAGCAACCAGCCAGTGCTGGCCCAAGAACCACCACCACCCAACAAAGGGAATATCAGAGATAGGAACAGTTATGTAAAGAGATGCTCATCCTTTTCCTCTTCCTTCTACCAGAATACCACCCTGGAGGGATCAAACCCTAAAGAAGGAGTAGGTACTCCAAGCTTGCCTGGGAGGAGGGAAGTAATGTAGATGAAATTGCAATCGAGTTTGCAAGTTAGCAAGTCCCGTGAGCACCCCATCCCGTATCCCCTCACCTTTACTTTTCAGTACACCCAGGCCTGACTTCCAACTGCCGACATCTGCATCTCTTTGCCTGCAGGCTTCTTCTGACCACTGAAGCCCTCTGTGCCCACAGGGAACTGCTGGAGAATTAAGAGACCCTAGAAACAGCCCTCATCCATTGATAGATGGATATTGGTGTATAAATACCCCAGCTCCTTTACTTAGGTAGGATAACTCTGAGTCTCTTGTTCTACACTACATTCACTATTTACTGGTGCAAAACAATTTACCCCCAAAACATGGTGGCTTAATATAACAATAACTTCACTATTTCACAGTTTCCATGGGTCAGAAATTAAGGAGCAACTTAACTTGGTGGTTCTGGCTCCAGATTGTTCATGAGATTGTAGTCAAGATGTCTTCTGGGGCTGCAGCCAACCAAAGTCTTGACCACACTGAATGATCTGCTTCCAAGATGGCTCATTCACAGATCTGGCAAGTTGGTGCTGGCTATTGGCAGGAGACCTCGGCTTATGACCACATGGACCTCTCCATAGGACTTTTTGAGTCTCCTCATGAACTGTGACTGGTTTCCCCCAGGGCTGGTAATCCAAGAGAAAGAGAGATCAAAGTGGGAAGAGCAACATCTTTTATGACCTAGCCTCAAAAGTCAGATACTGCATTGATTATCTATTGCTACAAAACAAATTACCCCAAGACTTAGCAGCTTTAAAAAATGATTAGCACAATTTCTAGGGGTCAGGAAATCTGGGCACAGCTTACCTGGGTGCCTCTGACTCAAGGTTTCTTTTGAGGCTGCAGGCTCTCTCTCAAGGTGTTGGCTGAGGCTGCAGGCGTCTCAAGGCTCAACTAAGGGAGGATCTACTTCCAGGCTCACTCCCTGGGCTGTTGGCAGCCTCACTTCCTCCATCACATGGGCCTCTCCATACGGCAATTCACAGAATGGTGGCTAGTTTTTCCTCGGAGCCAATGAGGAAAAGACCAAGAGAGCATAAACAAGAAGAAAGCCAGGGTCTTTCTGTATCCTAATCTCACAACTGACATTTATTACCTTGACCACATTCTATCGGCTAGAAGTGACTCGCTTATTATTGGTTATAAATGGCCCACACTCTTGGGGAAGGGATTATACACGGGTATGACTACCAGGAGACAGGGATAACTGGGGCCATCTCAGGGGCTGCTAACCACAGAGGGCATGTTCTATTGGCCACACAGGCCACACACATGGTTCGTTGTGGGAGGGGATTAAACAAGGGCATGAATACAGCAGGCGAGGATTGCTGGGGCCAACTTGAAGGTTGGTTCCCACAAAAGTGTTTCCCAGTGTTCCCCAGGGAAATCAAGCAACTGTTGATAATGCGCTTTTTAATGTCTGCCTTTCCTTTCCAGGTTCACTTCTCTTCTTCCCTAGTCTTTCCTGGCATTGTCTTCCAAATAAACCACTTGCATATAAACCCTCATCTCAACGTCTACCTCTAGGAGAACACAGAGTAAAACTTTAAACTAGACTTTTATAAAAATATGTGGAACTAATACACAAAATTCATTTCTTATCTTGGAACACAGCAAAAATTTGAAAGCCATTGTGGTAAACACTGCAGAATTTCAGAGCAAGAGTGGTTTTACTTAACCTGATGACATCTAGGAAGACTAGGCCTTAAAGATTTGAATACAGGAAAAATCAGAAAGTACATTGTATATCCACAAATAACAATGTTCAAAACTGGGGCTATTAGTTCTTGAGAGAATTCTCCACTTGTCTTTTGGAATTACATTTTTATTTCTACCTGCTCATCACTTTATTCAGTCTAGTAAGGGCCTTGTGTCAAGACGCCCGTACTCTGCCTGAGCTCCAGCCAAGCCTTATGGCCAGCAAGTATTCTATACTTTCATGAGGTCAGATTTCTCTGTGGCAAAATGGTAGAGATGAAATGCAAAAAAGTTCATAGCACTGGGAGGGGTTTGGGATCCCAGGAGTAGGCCAAGTTGCTTGAAACAATGGCATATTTTTCAAAACTCACTTTGAGACTCACTTTGGATAGGCAGGTACCAAATGACTCTTGACCTCTAAGCACCAAAAACATGCTCAGGAGAAATCAAGGCCTTCCAATGCACTCAATCATGGGTCTGTCAAGGGCTGGCTAGAGAAGCTTAAATCCAAATTAATTACTCAGAAATCTCTAGTTCAGAAGTTGGGCCACAGACATGCTCATCAGCATGCAACGGCAGTGCCATTCCCACAGCAAGAAGAAAAGAAACCAGCATAATGAGGACAGTAGATAAAAGGGAGACCATGGAGGAGGATCTTAATTGTATCTTAATTGAGTCACACACTTTTTCCTTCATGCAGATCCTGGCCCTGAAGTCAAAAAGAGAGTGGCTTCTCTGCTGGGGTGCTTCCTGTGCCCCAGCCATGGCTAGCGTCCAAGGTCAACATACTGTGGCAATCTACTAAAAAACAAGTGTATCAGTTAATTGTTGCTGCAATAATGCTATATAACAAACCACCCCAAACCTTAGCAATAATCACACATTTTCATTTGTGCATCCACAGATCTGCGGGCCTGTGTGTTTACAGGTCAGCAGGGGGTTGGCTGATGAGGCTGGGTTTGACTGAGTGGCTCTGCCTCAAACTGAGTGTAGCTGGTCTTGGCTCTCATTGAGGTTTGGCTCATATCTACTCCACATGTATCCACTCCCAGGACCAGACTAAGGGGGATGCTGTTACCCAGGGGTGCCTCTCCGAGGCACAGAGAAAAAGCAGGAACATCTGAGGCCTCTTAAGGCCTAGGCTTAGAGGTGACACATCCTCACTTCTGCCCATGCATCATTTGTCAAAGTCAAGGGGTGGGGAACTACCCACAAAGAGGCCATGTCAAGGGTGAGGAGGTAGAACAGGGTAAAAGATTTGGGGCAATAATCCCGTGGACCAAAGCCTGAGTCTCACCTCACAACCCAAATGGAAGCCATGCTGATAGAGACTCCGGAGTTCCAATCTATTTGTTAGATTTCTGATAAGTGGCAGGACGAAGGTGAGAATGACACCTTGTGACCTCATCTGGCCACCACAAAAACTATAGGACAGTGATGGAGCACACTGCCCACTTCCTCTACACTGCAGAACCAGTCAACGCAGACCATGGCACTCAGGAGCCTCCTGCATGGTCAGACTCAGTTATTATTGTTATGTGAAGAGGTGTGGCGTTTCCTCTGACGTTGGAAGGCGAGGGTAATTGCAGGTTATGTGGTCATTCCCAGGGAAAGAAGAACAGGGCCTATTCTTCAAAGACATGTGTGCTACTCTACAATTAGGGATGTTCCATAGCCATCAGTTTCTTCTACATTAGCTTTGGCCTATGTGGTTGACTGGCAAGGTGACTTTTGAAAAGGGAAAAATTTCCATTGCTTTTCTAAAAATGAAGTAAAAAAAATAAATTTAAAAAAATGTATAAAAATAAGCTTTTTGACTTAGGTTGACAAAAAAAAAAAAAAAAAAAAAAAAAAAAAGCTATCCAAGACTGCTCCAACCTGCATAGCTTAGAGTCAGTCATGACAAAGGTACTTTCCTAGGCCCTATAAACCACTGACTGGGTATGCACAGGGTTACAGCACACAGACTGCAGTGTCCCCTGCACTATGTGACCCACCCGGGGAGCAAGTGGAGGCTGAGTTCCAGGCTGTACTCTGCTCGCCAAGTCAAAGACCCAGACTACGGACTGTGTTATTCTAAAAGAAGGGGCACCTTTGATAATTAACCTGCCACAAGGGGCATCTTTTGGTAATTCACAGAAAGATGATTCACCACCAAGGGTAATTTATCTCCTTAACAGTCAGATGTATGGCTGTCCCCGGCTGCCCAGAGGCTGCCCAGACCATGGGGCCTGGCATGGTGTGATAAGTTAGATTCCCTTTCCAACTCTTCCCTGACCCCATCACATCCTTTGCCACATGACACTGCAGTGCCCCAGGTGACTCTGCAGTGTCTGAAAGAAGCAAAGTATACATCTTCACACCACTGATAATGCATTAGCTGTGTGACTTGCTTTGCCCAGTGGAATGTCAGTGGATATGAAGCGAGCAGGGGCTTTATTTTTTTTATTTCAGTAGGTTTTTGGGGAACAGGTGATGTTTGGTTACATTAATAAGTTCTTTAGTGATGATTTCTGAGATTTTGGTGCACCCATCACCCAAGCAGTGTGTACACTATACCCAGTGTGTAGTCTTTTATCCCTCACATCCCTCACACCCTTTTCTCCAAGTCCCCAAAATCCACTGTATCATACTTATGCCTTTGCATCCTCACAATCTAGCTCCCACTTATGAGTGAGAATATATGATGTGTGGTTTTCCATTCCTGAGTTACTTCACTTAGAATAATGGTCTCCAATTCCATCTAGGTTGCTGCAAATGCCATTATTTCGTTCCTTTTTATGGCCAAGTAGTATTACATGGTATATATATACCACAATTTCTTTATCCACTGACTGACTGATGGACATTTGGGCTGATTCCATATTTTTGCAATTGCGAATTGTGCTGCTATAAACATACATGCGCAAGTATCTTTTTTGTATAATGATTTCTTTTCCTCTGGGTAGATACCCAGGAGTGGGATTGCCAGATCAAATGGTAGTTCTACTTTTAGTTCTTTAAGGAATCTCCACACTGTTTTTCATAGTGGTTGTACTAGTTTACATTCCCACCAACAGTGTAAAAGTGTTCCCTTTTCACTACATCCATGCCAACATCTATTTTTTTATTATGGCCATTCTTGCAGAACTGAGGTGATATCACATTGTGGTTTTTATTCACATTTCCCTGATCATTAGTGATGTTGAGCATTTTTTCATATGTTTATTGGCCATTTGTGTATCTTCTTTTAAGAACTGTCTATTCATGTCAAGGTTTGCTCTTGCTGATTTGTTTGAGTTCCTTGTAGATTCTGCGTATTAGTCCTTTGTGATACATATACTGCAAAGATTTTCTCCCACTCTGTAGGTTGTCTGTTGACTCAGCTAATTGTCTCTTTTGCTCTGGGTAGATAGCTTTCTAGTTTAATTAAGTTCCATTTATTTATCTTCATTTCTGTTGCATTTGCTTTTGGGTTCTTGGTCATGAAGTATTTGCCTAAGCCAATGTCTAGAAGCATTTTTCCAATGTTATCTTCTAGAATTTGTGTGGTTTCCAGTCTTAGATTTAAGGTTTTGATCCATCTTGAGTTGATTTTTATATATGGTGAGAGAGGAGGGTCCAGTTTCACTCTTCTATATGTGGCTTGCCAATTATCCCAGCACCATTTGTTGAATAGGGTGTCCTTTCCCCACTTTATGTTTTTGTTTGCTTTGTCAAAGATCAGTTGGCTGTAAGTATTTGACTTTATTTCTGGGTTCTCTATTCTGTTCCATTAGTCTATGTGCCTATTTCTGTACCAGTACCATGCTGTTTTGGTGACTATGGCCTTGTAGTATAGTTTGAAATCTGGTAATGTGATGTTTCCAGATTTGTACTTTTTGCTTAGTCTTGCTTTGGCTATGTGGGCTCTTTTTTGGTTCCATATGAATTTTATAATTGTTTTTTCTAATCCTGCGAAGAATTATGGTGGCATTTAGATGGGAATTGCATTGAATTTGTAGATTGTTTTTGGCAGTCTGGTCATTTTCACAATATTGATTCTACCCGTTCATGCACATGGGATGTGTTTCCATTTGTTTGTGTCATCTGTGATTTCCTTCAGCAATGTTTTGCAGTTTTCCTAGAGTTCTTTTACCTACTTGGTTAGGTATATTCCTAAGTCTTTCTTTTATTTATTTATTTTTTTACAGGTATTGTAAAGGGGGTTGAGTTCTTGATTTGATTCTCAGTTTGATCACTGTTGGTGTATAGCAGAGCTACTGATTTGTGTACATTAATTTTGTATCCTGAAACTTTGCTGAATTGATTAATTAGTTCTAGGAGCCTTTAGGAAGAGTCTTCAGGGTTTTTTAGGTATATGATCGTATCATCAGCCAACAGCAATAACTTGACTCCCTCTTTACAGGTTTGGATGCCCTTTATTTCTTTCTCTTGTCTGATTGCTCTGGCTAGGACTTCCAGTACTATGTTGAATAGAAGTGGTGAAAGTGGGCATCCTTGTCTTGTTCCAGTTCTCGGGGGGAATGCTTTTAACTTTTCCCTGTTCAGTATAGTGTTGGCTGTGGGTTTGTCATAGATGGCTTTTATCATCTTGAGGTATGTCCCTTCTATGCCAATTTTGCTGAGGGTTTTAATCATAAAAGGATGCCGGATTTTGTCAAATGCATTTTCTGTGTCTATTGAGATGATCATTTGATTTTTGTTTTTAATTCTGTTTATGTGATGTATCACATTGATTGACTTGCATATGTGGTTTGTTTGTTTGTTTGTTTTTGACAGAATCTCACTCTGTTGCCCAGACTGGAATGCAATGGTGCAATCTCAGCTCACTGCAACCTCCACCTCCCAGGTTCAAGCAATTCTCCTGCCTCAGCCTCCTGAGTAGCTGGGATTACAGGTGCCCACCACCATGCCCAGCTAATTTTGTGTATTGTTAGTAGAGATGGGGTTTCGATATGTTGGCCAGGCTGGTTTTGAACTCCTGACCTCAGGTAATCCACCCACCTCAGCCTCCCAAAGGGCTGGGATTACAGGTGTGAGCTACCGTGCCCAGCCTGACTTGCATATGTTAAACCATCCCTGCATCCCTGGTATGAAACCCATTTGATCATGGTGGATTATCTTTTTGATATGCTGTTTGATTCATTTAGCTAGTATTTTGTTAAGGATTTTTACATCTATGTTTATCAGGAACATTGGTCTGTAGTTTTCTTTTTTTGTTATGTCCTTTCCTGGTTTTGGTATTAAGGTGATACTGGCTTCATAGAATGATTTAGGGAGGATTCCCTCTTTCTCTATCTAGTGGCGTAGTGTCAATAGGATTGGTACCAATTCTTTGAATGTCAGACAAAATTCAGCTGTGAATCCGTGTGGTCCTCGACTTTTTTTTGTTGGCAATTTTTTTTATTACCATTTCAAGTTTTTACTTCTTCCTGCTTTAAACTAGGAAGGTTGTATATTTCCAGGAATTTATCCATCTCCTCCATGTTTTCTAGTTTATGCATATAAAGATGTTCATAATAGCCTTGAATAATCTTTTGTATTTCTGTGGTATTAGTTGTAATATCTCCCGTTTCTTTTCTAATCGAGCTTATTTGGATGTTCTCTCTTCCTTTCTTGCTTAATCTTGCTAACGGTCTACCAATTTTGTTTATCTTTTCAAAGAACCAGCTTTGTGATTTATTTATCTTTTGTATTTTTTGTTTTAATTTCATTTAGTTCTGCTCTGATCTTCATTATTTCTTTTCTTCTGCTGGGCTTGGGTTTGGTTTGTTCTCATTTCTCTAGTTCCTTGAGGTGTGACCTTAGATTGCCCACTTGGGCTCTTTCTGACTTTTTGATATAGGCATTTAAGGCTATGAACTTTCCTCTTAGCACCGCCTTTGTTGTATCCCAGAGGTTTTGATAGGTTGTGTCACTATCATCGTTCAGTGCAAAGAAATTTTTAAATTTCCATCTTGATTTCATTGTTGACCCAATGACCATTCAGAAGCAGGTTATTTAATTTCCATGTATTTGCATAGTTTTCAGGGTTCCCTTAAGTGGGGTTGATTTCCAATTTTATCCCACTGTGGTCTGGGAGAGTACTTGATATAATTTCAATTTTCTTAAATTTATTGAAACCTGTTTTGTGGCCTGTTATATGGTCTATCTTGGAGAATGTTCCATGTGCTGATGAATAGAATGTATATTCTGCAGTTGTTGGGTAGAATGTTCCATAAATATCTGTTAAGTCCGTTTGTTAAAGGGTAGAGTTTAAATTCATTGTTTCTTTGTTGACTTTCTTTCTTGATGACATGTCAAGTGCTGTCAGTAGAGTATTGAAGTCTCCTGCTATTATTGTGTTGCCATCTATCTCATTTCTTAGGCCTAGTAGTAATTGTTTTATAAATTTGGGAGCTCCAGTGTTAAATACATATATATTAGGATTGTGATATTTTCCTGTTGGGCAAGCCCTTTTATCATTATATAATGTCCCTCTTTGTCTTCTATTACTGCTCTTGCTTTAAAGTTTGTTTTGTCCGATATAAAAATAGCTACACCTGCTCACTTTTGGTGTCTATTTGCATGGAATATCTTTTTCCAACCCTTTACCTTAAGTTTATGTGAGTCATTGTGTGTTAAGCGAGTCTCTTGAAGACAGCAGATACTTGGTTGGTGAATTCTTATCCATTCTGACATTCTGTACCTTTTAATTGGAGCATTTAGGCCACTTACATTCAATGTTAGTATTGAGATATGTGTACTATCCTATTTATCATGA